ATGAACATTTTATGTACATTTATGTACTAAATGTTCATCATTTTTGAATAAATAAAAATGCTGTTTATTTCTAGTAAATATTGATCTGTGGCAACAATTTAGTGTCCGATATATTCTATTTTGAGTATGTACAATAACTTGTTCAACTTGTCGTCTCTTGATGGACATTGGTTGCTTTAAGCCTTACTTATATGTACATTTCCCTCCATTATAAATGAATAAATTCATTAGTTATCAGATTCCTATTTTTAAAAAACATATTACCAAATAGTCCTTCAAATATGTAACCAACAATGTAGGATATTACTGTATTATATGCTAATATTGAATTTTTTTCCTCCTCTGCTAGACTGTGAGCAACCTAATTTGTCAGTTAAGCCATTAATGAAAATTAGGCATCTTGAAGAAATAGATATTCTAGTAGCTGAAGTTATCTTCTCCATTACTGTAATTTTTCTTTCTTTCTTTCTTTTTTTGGCAGCTGGCTGGTACAGCATTAGTGTAATTTATGAGATGAGCTAGTTTTTTACTTTCACATTCTAAAAAGAATAAAAAATCAAATTAGTGTATTGGAGGTGTTAATATTGTGTCCAATTTTTAATGAGTTAAGCACCTAATATTCACACTTTTCTCTAGCTACTTATTCAAGTATTAATTCTTACTGTTTTATCTTTGCCCTACATGTTGTTGAACCATGATCCCTTCCTGCTTACCACAAACATCTATTGAATGATTAGCTATCTGCCAGACAGTCTTCAGTCTTTATCTGGCTGGTCCTGTCTGCCTTACTTGAATCTGTTGATCAGCCCCTTCTTCCTGGCCTTTGGAGACTACATTCTTCTGTTTCTCCTCTGTCCTTCTAATTATTCTTTATCAGCTTTCTTTCTCTTTATTTTCTTTATTTTACTCTTTATTTCTTTCTTCTTTAGACATGGTAAACATTGGTTTCATCCAGTTTTGTATGTCTCATTGTATGTCTTATTCTTGGTTTTAATTACCACCTATATACGGATGACACCCATCAAACCTCTTCTAAGCTTTANGTATAGAACCTTTCTGTCTCAGTTTCTCCAGAGAATGTATTTCTGGTCTCTTGACATATATCTATATCTAAAAGGTTGGTGTGAAAGTGGTGGTGGTGTGGGTAGCTGGTAGATTGATGCCTTACTCTGTCCGGTGCTGCAAGGGGCCAGAGATCTAACCACTTCTCATAGACTTTCAACCCAGTTTCTCTCTTTTTTGGCTCTGCCTTTTAACCCACTACCTTTTGCGGTAATTGATACCATCAGTACTTAAGCCTTTAGGCCTGGCTGGTTAGCTCAGTTG